GACTCCCAGGAGGGCAGCTGGTCCAGTCCCCCCACATCTCCTTTCTTTGTGTTCCTGATCCTATCATGGGTTTTGGTTACAGTTCTGGAAAGTTCTCTGTGGTCCAGGACTAGGGGGTTCCTCTAGGATCTCAACTCAGTCTTCTCCCTGGCCTCTCACGTGAGCTTTTCTTCTTACAGGTGAGAAAGGAGGGAGCTACGCTCAGGCTGCAAGTATGTGGAGGGGCTGTGATTCCTGAGACCCTTGTGAGGGTGCAGACAGGAGGCCATAGGGGCCTCACCGTCCTAAAGTTCCTTCTCTAGTTTCTCTCCTGTGGGTTCTGACCACGTCCTTGTTTTGTTCTCCCCCAGGCAGTAACAGTGCCCAGGGCTCTGATGTGTCTCTCAGGCATCCTAAGGGTGAGGCTCTGGAGGGTCTAGATTAGGATGGGGGATGGGGCAGAGGGGATGTCCTGGGAGATGGGGATTCTTTGCGTGGGACATTTGAGCAGGTGGGGGGCTGTCAGAAGGTCAGCACTTATGTGACTGCCCTGAATTTTTTCATGATTATTTTCTTCTATAGTTTGAGACAGCTGCCTTGTGGGGACTGAGTGATGCAGGATTCCGCATCCCACCCCTGCACTGTGACTTCAAGATCTTCTGACTTTCTGCAAACGTCATCTGAATGTGTCTATGTTCCTGTTAGCATAAAATGAAGAGGTGGGGAGCCTGGCCCACCACTGCCCACCACGACCCCTCCCCACACTGGCCTGTGTTCTCTTCCTTGATGGCCTTTCCTGACCGAACAGAGGCGGGGCTGGGCCGTCTCCATCTTTGTCTTAACTTCATTTTGCGCCGAAAAGTAATGTCTTTCATATCCTATTGAAAATCAGGATCCGAACTACAGCTCTCCCCCTACTATATAGATGGGTCCTCATCGGTCTTGTCCCCCAGTGTTTGTTTGTTTGGGTCTTTTTCCTAAAACTGTACAAATGTTAGATACTTAATCTTTGGTAATATGATATTACAAAGAAATTGCTTCCTTCTGTTATTGTTCAGCTTAGTCATCTTCATATATGCTTAGTCATTACTAGTTCTGTTATTTCGTTTCCTTCTGTTTTATTTTTTTAATTCATTTCCCTTAGCATTATCAACGTCTTTGTTACTGGCTTCTAAGAACTAATTTATGACTAAGGATGTTAACAATTTGTCATGCAATGTAAATGAAATACCATGTTTTACTGCCATCAATTTACTATGGCGTTTTGTATTTTGGTTGTGTATTAAAATATACTCATGTTGTGCCTTAAAAAAAATCAGGATATGAATTTGTTTTTTGCTATTTATGCCATGAGGGGTTGATGGGATAATAAAGGAGAGGATTCCTAAAGTTTGAGAGAGGAAATAAATGGAAGCACTGAGACCCTTCCAGATTCCGTGTGCTTGCTGTGCTCTGTCTGCTGCAGGTGGGACAGGAGGAGGCTGTGAGGAGCTGAGCGTGGATGTGGCCTGTGCCCACTCCATGCTTACCGCATCGTGGGCTTTGAGGTGGTCACTCCTGGTCACATCTTCTCAGCTCCTTTGTCCTTGTCCCTTCAGTAGAACCTTGTCCCACCAGCAGCTGTGATCTCAGAAGAAGTCACCAGGTCAGCCTCGGCTCAGGCCTGTGTCCAGTCCTCAGCCCCTATCTTTTGGGTGTTATTTGTTGTTTCTTTCTTTCTTTAGAGGTTCTTGCCTGAGTTTGTGTTTTATTCTCCTCTGGGTGTCCCCCACCTCTGACAGCTGGAGGAGTCGTTTGGCCTGTCGTGGTCCCCACAAGGCCCAAGCCTGCCCCTGCACACAGGAGAGTCTGTGGTGTCCAGAGATGGATTTTCAGGTTCAACTAGCTCCTGCCTTCCTTCTAGGATTTGATTGTTCTTTCCATATTTCCCCCAACCTTCTCAAAGGATCCAGATTCTGGAATTAGCAGAAAGGCGGGAAACCATAATGTCTCGTCTTAGATAAGTTCCTGTCGGAATTCTGCTCTGCTCGCCTACCCACTCTCCCTGCCCTTAGCTCTAGTAATCCCAGTGCTGGCCCCAGTACAAACTCATGGACTTATAAAGCAGAGTCTAATTTAGGTTTATATTTGGTTGGAAAATAGGACTCATAAGTCAAGGATCATTGTTTTCTGAAAAGAAAAATATACTTGTGTGAGGCAGTGCGGAGGAGGGTTGGTTGGGGGGAAGGGGAGAAGAGCACTTGTGAGAAAAACACTGGCAGCATTGACGTCAATGTGAGTAGATGTTGTGCTGTAGCTGCCACAAAACAGCGTTTGGCCTTAGGTCACATTAGTAAAGATGCTGTCTAGAATAGGGAGGTGCTTTACATTGAACATTCACTCAGCTGATACCGGTTGTGTGCCAGATATATGACACAATGTTTTGCATCTAGGAAATTTCACTGAAGTTAAAACAAAAAAATTGCTGGCCTTGTGGAGCATGTATTCTAGTGGGAAGAGACAGACTATGTGCTATCAGCATAGTAAATAAGGAAAGTGTTCTGTTACTAGGGGATACGTACAATGGAAAAGATGCAGTGGAGAAGGTGATCCAGAGTGTGAGTACGGGGACAGGGAAAATGGGTGTTTTACTAGGGCGGTCAGGGTGGGCCTCACTGGGAAGGTGACCTTTGAGGAAAGATTTGAAGGACATGAGGAATTATCGCTGAGGATGTCTGGAGGAGGTTCTTTCCAGGCAGAGGGAACCTCCAGGCAAATGCACCAGGGCAGAAGCATGTCTGTGTGTCCCAGTTAAAGTGAGGAGGCCAGTATGGCAGGAGCAGAGATTAATTGAGATGGGATCAGAGGTACAGCCAGACCATGTAAGGCCTGGAGGATGCTGGGAGGGTTTTGACTTTTGCTCTGAGTGGGAGGGGCGTTATAAGATTGTTTTGAGCAGAAGAGGGACATGGTATGACTTCTTTATTTTTTAATAGGTTTTATCTCTCTTATTTTTTTATTTATTTAAGCTGAGTTGGGTCTTCGTTGCGGTGTGCTGGTTTTCTCTAGTTGTGGCTAGCAGGGACTACCCTTCATTGCAGTGCGTGGGCTCTAGGCGCGTGGTCTTCAGTAGTTTCGGAGTGTGGGCCCAGTAGTTGTGGCTCATGGACTCTAGAGTGCAGGCTCAATAGTTGTGGCGCACAGGCTCAGTTGCTCCGCGGCATGTGGGATCTTCCCGGACCAGGGATCGAACTGTGTCCCCTGCACTGGCAGGCGGATTCGTAACCACTGTGCCAACAGGGAAGTCCCTATTTTTTTTTAATATTTAAATTTTATTGTATAGTTGATTTACAATGTTGTGTTAGTTTCAGGTGTTTAGCAAAGTGATTCAGTTATACATATATTTGTTCTTTTTTAGATTCTTTTCTCATATAGGTTATCACAGAATATTGAACAGAGTTCCCTGTGCTATACAGTAGGTCCTTGTTGGTTATCTGTCTTATACATAGTAGTGTGTGTGTGTTCATCCCAACCTCCTGATTTATCCCTCCCCTCCACGTTTCCCCTTTGGTAACCATAAGTTTTTTTCAATATCTGTTAAGTCTGTTTCTGTTTTGTAAATAAGTTTATTTGTACCTTTTTAAAAAAATTAGATTCCACATTTGAGTGATATCATATGGTATTTGTCTTTCTCTGTCCTTACTTCACTTACTATGATAATCTCTAGGGCCATCCATGCTGCTGAAAATGACATTACTTCATTCTTTTTTATGGCTGAGTATATTCCATTGGACTTCACCTTTAAAAGTATCACTTTGGCTGCTGTGCTAAGAACAGAACTGAGAGGCAAGGAGGGAGTGAGGCCATAGGGAAGCAGTGGGAAACTAGTGCAGTGTCCAGGCTGGAGATGGCCGTTGCTTCGACTGGGGTGTGAGCAGTGGATGTAATGGGAAGTAATTAGATTCTGGACACGTCCTGAAGGTGGATTTTACAGCATTTGCTAAAGGATTAAATCTGGGGTATGAGAAAGAGGAGTTAAGGAGGACACCCTAAAGTTTGGACTATGTAAGTAAAAAGATGGCATTACTCTCACCAGAGATGGGGAAGACGAAGGAGCAAATTTTGGGGGAGAGGGGGCATTATGGGCATTTGGTTTAAGAGATGTTGGAGCTGAGATTTTGTTAGAAATACAAGCCAGGTAGTTGGATTGGCAGTTGGACAAATGAGTCTGGAGTTTAAGAGCAATGTCTGGGCTGGAGAAATAGATTTGGGAGGCGATGCCACATCATGATATTTAAAGCCTTGAGAACTGATGAGGTCTCCAAGGGAGGGAGTGATGGCTGTAGAAGAGGAAGGACAAGGACTGAACCCTGGACCCCCCAGCGCTATGTGATCGGATCAGATCACACAGCTGAGCAGGATGCGTGGTTCTGACACTGCGTCTAGACGGCACAGAGACCCGGGAGTCTGATCTTTGCTTTGTACAGGAAAGCCCTGGACATCTTTTTAAGATTCAGGAAGTCAGAAAGCATGAAATTCTGGGTTTAGAGCAAGGTTGGTGTTGATGCTGCTGGTCTTCAGATCACACTTTTTAAAAAATTTATTTATTATTTTTGTCTGCATCGGGTCTTAGTTGTGGCATGTGGGATCTTTGCTGAGCATGCAGGATCTTTCGTTGGTGTTCGTGGGCTCTTTTTTAGAGATTTGATATCTATTTATTTATTTATTTATTTAGGGCTGTTTTGGGTCTTCGTTTCTGTGCGAGGGCTTTCTCTAGTTGCGGCGAGCGGGGGCCCCTCTTCATCGTGGTGTGCGGGCCTCTCACTGTCGCGGCCTTCTCTTGTTGTGGAGCATAACCTCCAGACGCGCAGGCTCAGTAGCTGTGGCGCACGGGCTTAGTTGCTCCGTGGCATGTGGGATCTTCCCAGACCAGGGCTCGAACCCGTGTCCCCTGCATTGGCAGGCAGATTCTCAACCACTGCGCCACCAGGGAAGCCCCTCGTGGGCTCTTTGTTGCAGCGTGCAGGTGTCTCTCTAGTTGTGGCATGCGGGCTTAGTTGCCCCGCCGCACGTGGGGTCTTAGTTCCCCGACCAGGGATTGAACCTGAGTCCCCTGCATTGGAAGGCAGATTCTTTACCACTGGACCACCAGGGAAGTCCCCAGATCACACTTTTAGTAGCAAGAATGTTCGTAGACCGGGATTCCCACATGGCTGTGCATCAGCCTTACGCATAGGACTTGCTGAATAAGCTTTTCCTTGATCTTGTGCCTAATACTCTGAGAAGGTGGTCCTGGGGAGAGGCCTGAGCATTTTGTAAGAAGCCCCACAAGCAATCCTTATGCTCAGCCACTTTGGGAACCACCAAGGTCAGTGACACAGAGTGGCCAGAGAAGGGTCTTAAATCCACATTTAAAAGTGTTTTTTTTTTTTTTCAGAAAGAAAAGGGAGTATCTATATTGTCAATTATGAGATGTGATGCTGGGAAATACATGTAGTTCTCTCTACTATGGGGTATAGTCGGGTGGAAGACTTAGGAAGTGGTTCACAGTTCAGCATAATGAAATCCGTGCTCTCTGAAGTTATTCTCCAGACTGAGTTCTCACTCACTCTTGGAACAAACAATAGGATCCAAAAGTTTTCTAATTTAGGCCTAAAGTACCATATATATATGATACGGGGGCTCATATCATTTTGGGAAGGCTACAGAACCAGGCTTGAGGCTCCACGGGAACAGAACCCACAGTGTCCACCCTAGGCCAGGTCCCACATAGGAACATTCGCCCCTGTTGCTGGGCACAGATGTCACTGCTCACACAGTGAGCCCCGCGTGCTGGACGTGGACCCTGCGGCGAGGACGGCTGTCACTGCGGTTGCTGACAGCTGGAGGTTGTGTAACTCCCACTCACACCAGCCTTGCCAAATGCATTCTGCTCAGTCCCAGCCGCTCTGCGTCACCACGTCCTGAGCAGAGCCTGAAACGTGGTCTCCTGAGTGGTGAGGCCTGAGCTCCATGCTGTGTCCACCTGCAAGAATGTTCGGGAAAGTGGGTTTTCCTCTTTGATGGAGGAAGGTGGTCTCTGCCTCCTACCAAGACGCTTTCAGTGTGGGATTCTCCTAATCTAGGAATTGTCCTACGCTTTCAGTGTGGGATTCTCCTAATCTAGGAATTGTCCTACTCTTTCAGTGTGGGATTCTCCTAATCTAGGAATTGTCCTACTCTTTTAGTGTGGGATTCTCCTAATCTAGGAATTGTCCTACTCTTTTAGTGTGGGATTCTCCTAATCTAGGAATTGTCCTACTCTTTCAGTGTGGGATTCTCCTAATCTAGGAATTGTCCTACTCTTTTAGTGTGGGATTCTCCTAATCTAGGAATTGTCCTACTCTTTCAGTGTGGGATTCTCCTAATATAGGAATTGTCCTACTCTTTCAGTGTGGGATTCTCCTAATCTAGGAATTGTCCTAATCAGGTAAGGGGGTGGTGAGGGATGGAAAAAGGATGTCAAATTTCAATTCTTAGAGCAAAGATCTGAGACTGGAACTGGATCTGGTACATTGTAGGCACTCGGGTTTGGTTGAAAGAACAAGTGACTAATAAATGACATCCAAGGTAGAGATTTACTTGCTTACTACTCTTACTCTGAATTTCTTTGTGAGCTGGTGAGGGATTTTTTCCTTCACGCAACCAATTTTCTGATTCTCAGGCGCCAACTGGGTGTCCTACAATTCAACTCAATTCTGACACGAGCTACCTGGAATTAGCATCAGACCCCACAGGTTTCAGGGCTCAGTCCTGCAGACTTCCTTTACTTCAGAAGCAAGTTGCAAGCCTCAAGTCCCTGTGTTACCTGCACTTCTGTCTGACTTGACTACAAAGCTAGGGGTTCCCCCCAAGTCTGATAATTTGGTAGAACAAGTCATAGAACTCAGGAAAATGCTATGCTTACCATTACAGTCTATAATAAATGACACAAGTGAGCAGCCAGATGAAGAGGTACCTAAGTCGAGGTCTGGAAAGGTCCCGAGTGTAGGAGCCTCAGTCACCGTGGAGTTGAAGTGTGCCACTCTCCCAGCATGTGGATGTGTCCACCAATTTGGAAGGTCTCCAAATTCTGTCATTTTAGGGTTTGTAATGAAAGTTTCATGATGTAGCCATGATTGATTAAATCATTGACCATTACTGATTGACCTCATCCTCCAGCCCCCCTCTCCCCAGAGGTCAAGGAGTGAGGCTGCAAGTTCCAACCCTCTGATCATGGCCTGTTTTTTCTGGTGACCAGACCCCATCCTGAAGCTTCTAGGACCTTTCAGCCAAGAGTCATCGCCCTAGCACCCCAAAGATGCTTTTATCACTCAGATAGCCCCTGTCTTTGACCACAGATCCCTTAGAGCAGAAGGACCATAACAGTTAAAAGATGCTGACACATGACTAGAGTCCCATTCAGTCATTAACAAGTAGTCCAGTCCATCTTCCTATCGAGGATATTTACATGGCAAATAAATTCATGAAAAATTGCTCAACATTTTTAGTCAGAGGGGGAATTCAAATTAACCGTAATATGACATCGCTGCACACTGCCCAGGGTTGTTAAAATGAAAAAACCACGCCAAATCAGTTGCTGGCAAGAATCTGGGCTAATTATCTCTCATATATTGCTAGTGGGAGAGTAAATTGATTCAAATACTTTGAAAACGTCTTTGGTGGTAACCAAACATTCACTCACCAGCATTTCCACTCTTAGTTATATACTCAATAAATATGCGTGCATATGTGTGCCAAACATATGAAAATATTATTCATAGCGGCCCGATTTGTAAAATCTGGATATAACACAAATGCCCATGAACAGTAGAGGACGAGAAATGTGGTCTATTCCTATAATGGAACACCACGAGAATAAATAAATTACAACCACACACAGCAATAGGGGTGAGACCCGGTGACATAATGTTGAGTGAGAGAGCCAGACACAGGGGGGCATCCACTGCATAATTCTTTCCAATCAGAAACTGGCAGAACTCACCTATGTATGGCGTTAAAAATCAAGATAATGATTACTCTGAGGGGTGGGGTGGGCAGGTTCCTTTATGACTGAATAGGATTCAAGAGGGTTTCCTGGGATGCTGGAAAGGTTACGTGATGTGAGTGTTGTTTACCCCAGTGTTCACTTGGTGAAAATCCACTGCGCACTTACGAGCTGCCCACTTCTCTGTGGGTGTTGTCCTTCATGAAAGTATGATTTTCTTGGATTTTTGAAAGAATTCTTTCTAAGAATTCTTAGAATAACATAGAATTCTTCTTACTGAAAGCCCTCAGAAATGCTGAATTGAAAACAAATCACTACAATTTTTAGAAACTCAAGGAAATACATGCCTGTGATTCAGATATAAAGAAGAGACGCTAAAGAGAGAGCAGTGAGCCCGGGAGCCGACACAAGAATAGTTTGGGGCTTTTGCCTTGTTGCAGCCGAGAAAGCAACATGGGGCACCAGCAGCTTTACTGGAGCCATCCGAGAAAATTCGGCCAGGGTTCTCGTTCTTGCCACGTCTGCTCAAACCGGCACAGTCTGATCCGGAAATACGGCCTCAATATGTGCCGCCAGTGTTTCCGCCAGTACTCGAAGGACATCGGCTTCATTAAGTTGGACTAAGTGTGAACTTCTTGAATGGGTCATCACGCATATCTACCTTCCTCAGAAACAATACTAACTCTTCGTATATAAAATAAAAATTTTTAAACTTCAAAAAAAAAAAAAAAAAGAATAGTTTGGGGAATGGCCATCAAGCCAGGAAGTAGGAATCAAAATCCAAGCAGACTCTCTCCTCAGCATCAACATGTGGATCCAAGACAGTGAGGCCCCATCCCAGCCGCTCCTCCTGTCCAGCTAAGGGAACGGGGCCGCAGGGTGCAGAGCAGACTTGGAGCAGGTCTGGGGTGGACGAGCGCTCAGCCAGAGGTGGAGCGTGTTCTCTCCGTCTCCCTTAGAGGGAGCAGGGCTTGGACATGGGCTTCACTGGCTCTGTGCTTTCTCCCCCAGGGGCCCCAGCCGTGAACGTGACCCACAGCCAGGACTTGGAGGGCACAGTCAACCTCACATGCTGGGCTTTCGGCTTTTTTTCCCCAGAATATCTCAGTGGCCTGGTTTCCAGATGAGGAACCCATGTGCCGGCATGCCCAGCAGACCTCCGTGACCATAAGTGTTCTCCAAGGAGAGGAGCAGCGGGTCTAGTGTCACGTGGAACACAGCGGGAATCACAGTGCACATCCTGTGCCCCCTGGTGATCCTGGGGTGATCCTGGAGGGGGTTGCGACCTTGGGAGGGTCAGAGGCCAAGGCCAGGGAGAGGAGAGCAAGCCTGTGGCTCTGGGGTGCCTGGGTTATATATAATAAGTCCCTCTTTCAGGAGAGACCCTGGTGTATCAGAGTCAATAGTGGACCATCCTGGGTGTTGCTGACTTTGCTCTTGTTTTTATCATCGGGCCTTGTGTCCTTTGCTACTCGAAGAAGAAGAAGAAGACAGCATCAGCTGTGGGGAGCCCAGGTGAGAAATCTGGGCGCGGGTGGGGATGGGAGGGGCTCTGCCTGGGATGTAGGGTCCCCCTCGTGTCCCTCTGCACAGATGTGAGAGGATGACAAGCCTCTGTTCCAAGAGTTGGACATTGGGGTATTTGTGAGGGGAATGGGAGCCACGTCTGCTCTAACCCCTTGGTTCTGCCCAAAGCCAGGGCCAGGCTGGGGCCCTTAGTGTCCGGCGAGGTCTTCTCCTTGCTCTGGGTGAGACTGGGTGGCAGTGAGGGTTGCAACTCCCTGCTCCGTTCTGATTTCTGTCCACTCTCAGGCTCGTCAGGCCTCATCTAGGGGGGATGTGTTGGATCATGTGCTGGTTGGGAGGGTCTAGAGGTGATCATGGATTGATTCAGAGGGAACCTGCATGCAGTAAAGTGTCTATGACTGGGTTGGGTTACAAACTGAGGAAGAATTCAGATGGAAGGCGATGGCTCTTATCTCTTCCTGAATTTCTATTCCCCAATTTTTTAGCCCTTCTTAAAAATCCAAGGAAAAGAACCACAGGCTCAAACTAGAGGTCAGTGGATGGTGCTGGAGCCCTGGCCGCGGTGTCCCTTTGGGTGGCCCCACTTAAAAAGAGATGTTTACATCTCTGGGAAGGCACAGTAAAATATGTATGATCTGGTGGGGAGGTGTTAAAAACTGAGGAGGAATTCAGACGAAAGTCCTGAAATCTGGAGAGCCTGAGAAGGGGGTATCCCTGAGAGCATACAAGGGTTTCCCACCCAATTAACTCATTTTTACTGGTCATTTTTTCTTTTACCTTTTCCCCCAGAACTTGTGAAGCTACAAGTCCAGTGATAACACAGATGGCACCAACAGACTGTAATGTCCCCCTTCAGCTGCGAATCAGTCTCCTTGGTCAGCTCCCCACTCCACTGATTCAACTAGGGGAGCTCAGAATCTGCAGCCAGGTGACCAGGATTCAACTCACTGCTCTGGTCTTCCTAGCACTTTCCCTCTTTTTTTTTTTTCTCACGGATTAGAAGAATTACATTAAAAAAAATTTTTTTAATTCAGTTTTTTGTTGTTAAAGTATAGTTTATTTACAGTGTTGTGCCGGTCTCTGCTGTACAGCAAAGTGACTCAGTTATACACACAGAGACATTCTTTTATATATATATATTCTTTTCCATTATGGTTTATCATAGGATATTGAATATAGTTCCCTGTGCTATACAGTAGGACCTTGTTGTTTATCCGTCCTATATATAATAGTTTACATCTGCTAATCCCACACTCCCGGTCCTTCCCTCCCCCACCCTGCTCTTCCTTGACAACCACAAGTCTGTTCTCTGTATCTGTAGCACTTTCCCTCTTGATGCCTCCGTTTCTTCATCTGAGAAGTGATGAGGACATTGCAGCACTAACCTCTAGGACAGGGTTTCTCACCATTGGCACCATTAACTTATTGGGCCAGAGAGTTCTTGGCTGTGGCGGGCTGTCCCGTGCCTTGTGGGATGTTTAGCCGTAGCCCTGGCGTCTATCCGCTAGAGGGCAGTATTTCCTCACTTTACAACACCCGCTTCTGCCAAGTTAGACAACAAAAAATGATCCAGACATTTCAGAATGTCTCCTGGGGTCCAAATCTCCCACGATTAGGTCCCACGGAGGTGCGGCCAGGCCAGGAGCTCTGCTTGCCTGGGTCTCCTCTGGGTCCAGGGCAGGGTTAGGTCAGGCATTTGCCCACCTGGGTAGGTGAGCTCGTCTTTTGCTTTGCTCCAAATAAGGCCTTTGCCCCCCTATTTTTTTGTCCTGAAGACTTCTATCCATCTTTAAAACAAATCAATTCCCCCTTATCTCTGCATTCAATGAATCCTTCCCCACACTTTCTTTCGCTGCCTTCTGGTCTGTATCAATTCAATCCTAGTAACTGGCATATTTGACATACATGATACATGATATTGCCCTAAGTAGTTCTGATTCCTTTAAGGCAGAGAATGTGTTCTCGATTCTGCTATCCAGAGGGCCTAATTTAGTTTATTTTACTTTACTTCACGAGGATGTTTCCTCTCCTCTTTAAAATATGGATAGCACTTGAATTACTGGGCACTTCTTTTTGACCACATGGCTTGTGGGATCTTAGTTCCCCGACCAGGAATTGGACCTGGGCCCAGAGCAACGAAAGTACCGAGTCCTAACCACTGGACCGCCAGGGAAGTCCTGAATTATGGGCACTTTATTCCTTCATTCAATGTGCACTTATTGCACACTGTATCAAATATGTGGCATGATATTGTCTCAAGGATCTCATCAGGTAAATAAACTATATTAAAGATGCTGTAAACTGTATACATGTACTTTATGTCCAAGGAGATTCATGTCCTGCAGTCTTTCTAAGGAGTACCTCTGTGTGGTTTCTCATCAATGTCTGTATGGTATTTCTTTTTTCCATCCTTTTACCTTCAACATTTCTGTAACCTGCTACTGACATTGTGTCTTTTGTAAACAGCATATTAGCTATTCATTTATTTTTACCCACTTGACCATCTTTGTCCTTCATTGTAGTGTTTGAGTTCATTTACGTTTAATGTGATTACTGACACACTTGTGTTTACTACCACCTGGCCACTTACTATCTTTAATTCATTTATTCTCTGCTTCATTGTTTTTCTTTGTTGCCTTCTTTTGGATTATCCAAAAACTTTTCAGTATTGTAGTCAATTAGCTTTCTAGTTACACATTCCTTTATTTTTCCATTAGTTACCCTAGAAATCACAGTATTAATTTGAGACTTATTATATGATCACTTTCATAACTTTTTGGCCTAACCATCAGACAAACCAAGGGAAGAAGAGGCACTCTGACTCTGAGACGTAATGGGATGGAAGTAGGAGAATCAGAAGACAGAGCTGTAGATGCACGCCTGCCAAACGTCAGGCTGCGGGCACTGAGTCGCCTGCCATCCAGAGGGGATGGGTGGGATTGGAAGGCCCCTGTGGCAGCTCTTTCCCTTGTTTCCCTCCCCAACCAGGGAAGGCAGGACCCACTCTACCCAGTGCCCTGTGCATATTCCATTCTCTCTGAGGCATCGGGACTTTTGTTTCTGGTGCACATGAGGCAGAATCTTCCGGGCACCAGTATGGATTTTAAACACCTGTGAGTCTGAAAGGACGACAGGTTTTTGTTTGTTTTTATTGACCATGGGTTTTTCTGCAGCTCTTTGCTAGCATTTGCCAGCCCCTGTGCCTGGGCTGATTTGAATACTCTTTCTTCCTGTGCCACTTCCCCTCCCACTTCCCCTTCCAGCCTTCCACCACCCTTGGATGAGTGGATTTTTCTAATTCTAGCTGTTGTATTTTGTGGACCTGTTATTCTTGTTTTGCTGTGAAGTACCTATATTGGACGTGAGAGGTAAAGGAGAATCTGTTGCTCCTGGTCACTCCCTTTATACCCATCACTGTCTTGTTTCTTGTAACTCAGGTTAGATTTTGGCCTCTTGCTCCACTGCCTGAAGAGCTGGGACAGGAGGAGAGATCTCACAGCCCGATCTGCTGGGTTTTGAGGAATGATTTTCTTTCTTCCCCTTGAACAGGAAAAAGCTTTTTTCACTAGTACATTTAAAGTTCCCCAACTATAGGGAAGTACCAGTTTTGGACAAATGCCACTCCAACGCAGAATGGTTGGAGAACCTGAACTTTGAAACTCTGGAGGTCTGAACTTTACTGTTGGCCATTGCTGGGTCTGTCTGGTATTTCCAAGGAATATTGGGTGTTGCAAATAGGAACTGAAGGGGTAAACTTATTAAACCCATTAAACCTGTGGGGGAAAATCAGTTGTAGATGCGGAGGCATCTGAGGCCTCTTCCTCTTGAACCCCAGCCCCAAAGACCCTCTCCTGCTACGGCTGTACCTGGCCTAGAACTGAGATGCTCCAGACCCAGCCGAAGGTCACCTCCCTGGTCACACCGGGGTCATGCGCAGTGACCTGAGGATGATCTGGGTTCTGAGGCTTGTCTTTAAAAAGGAATCCACTATTTTGCCTGTGCAGTGAATATTTATTACAAGTTTTTATATATCATGCCTGTTCTTTGCTAGTGCACTCCAGTATGCTTTTAGGGAACTACGATATACCACCTGGATACAGCCAGGAGGGCTGTTGATCAATACTGATTGCTTCTTTTAATGAAGGAGTGGACAGCAGGCCCAAGCTAGACCGACTGGATATGCTGTCACGGGAA